CACAGTAGAGCTAAACTCAAAAGACAGCAATTGCTCAGAGCACCTGCCTTGCAAAGACTTCTCATTGAGCTGCATTGGGAAATATATGATTGGACAGCCACAGAAAGTCTGGGCTAGATTTAAAGGGGAGGACTGGCAAAGGCAGCAGATAAGAGTCCCACAACTTCTAAAAGATGTATTATATATATATGGGACGTGTCCTGGACTTGAACGGTAGCGGTCGCATGTGTTGTTAGCTCTGAGGAATATCGGCCCTCCCGTAGCTTTAAGACCCACTAACACACTAAAAGGCTACCCTAAACATGTCCCATCGTAAGGGCAAGAGGGCGACCAAAAAGTAGGACAAATTGATATATTTTGGCGCAAAACAAGGGCACACAAAATGCTTTCAATAATTTGAAGACTCCCAAGATGGCGCCGAAATGAACCAAGATCAGGCCCAAACCCGGAATCACCAGGCCTAGTACTTGCCCCAGAATGCCTGCATGCCATGTTTGATGGTATAGCATCCAAACTGCAGGCGACACTGCAGCAATCATTCACGGAGCTCTGGTCCGACAGTCAGGCACTGGGATCCCGTATCTCGGTGCAGGAAAACAAAATGGAGGAACATGCGGTGGCCCACAACAATCTCGCCACTAACATGGAGGACTTATTGGAATGGATGGACAAGTACAAAGCAAAATTTGCCGACATGCAGGACTGAGCACGCCGCAACAATTTACGTTTGAGAAATGTACCCGGATAAATAGGCCTTCAAGATCTACAAGCCTATGCTAACGCTCTCTTTCGTCTGTTGGCGCCAGTCTACCAAAGATATGTCACTGGTAGACCGCATTCACAGAGTAACCAAACCACAGTAGTTACCCAGAGTCATTGTACTTAAGATGCACTATAATGATGCCAAGGACCTGATCCTTAAATCCAGCAGGACGAACAAGGACTTGCCTCCCACCTACCAGAAAATAAAAATATTTGCGGACATCACCACCACTATGCTTAAAAAGAGGAAAATGTTCAACGCAGTTACTGAACTGCTCCGAGACAACAACATGGCGTACAGGTGGGGTTATCCGACCAAACTCCTGGTCCAACGCAATGGAACCATCAACGCGCTCAATACCCTTGAATGGTGATGAATGAATGGGGGAACAACCAGGGACTCATACAAATGTCCGCCTACCTCAAGAATGGAAGAAGGCGCACAAATGAAAAGGACACTCCATGGCACATCATAGCAAATTACTTTCCAGAGTTTTGCAAGTATAAGTTGTAATCGAATAGACAGGGACAGACTATGAGTCCTAATAGGGAGAGTAAAACAAATTATAAGGAAGGGGAGCCCTACCTTTAATAGTTCTAAGGAGAAATGGAAATATAAACAGAAAAGGGAGAGACAAAAAAGGTATATGTATAATGTGTGTACTTATGTACATATACAAATACACAAATACCTATAGATATCCAGCTAGGTTAGCTAAGAAAAACATAGCTACTAGTGAGGGCTAGGCCTACACCGAACAATTTCCCAGCTAATAGACAAAAAAACAAGTATATCCAAAGGTGAAGGACACTAGGGCTAAGATAAGGAGCTACCAAGTGAGATAAGTGTTAAAACAAAAAAAAATTGCTCTAAATTGTAATTGATGATCTGTTATGTACATGTTTTATAGTCATGGTTTATAACCCCATCTCCAACATTAGTCACTAAGGGGCCACACCACTACCTCATACAAATTTAAAAAAATAAATAAAAATACAAAGCACCATGACATTCTATATGCAGCTTTCTAGGACTGCCAAAACAAGGGTCTAAATATCCAATCTACATGTTAAATGAGGGCCGGCTCCAATGGTGCCTATTATGGGTGCATAGCCATATTTTTGGCTTTTTTGGTTATGTTTAAATGTTTATTAACTCCTTATTAGTTTTTTTTTCTGTGAATTAAGCTTTATTGTACTATCGAAATGTCTTTACAATGTTCCTGGGCCTAGTGTGTGGCCCACACACAGCCAACGTAGAACACTCTGGACTCTCTGAGACAGCCCAAGCACCGGAGCTGGCCTCAGGGGCCGGGTGCTTTGGACATACAAATACACTGGAGAGGGGCTAAAAGGGAGGAGTCTGCCTGGCTCAAATGCGTTGGGGAAGGAGGAGCCTCTGAATGGAAAAATATCAAATGGTTATATACAAACACTTCCCATATCTACCACCATAAAAATCTATAGCCACAATGTAAGGGGACTAAACCTCCCAGTGCAGCGACACCTTCTGGAGAGAGGTCTAAGACAAAGTGACACTAACATTGTTTGCCTCCAGAAGACACACTTCAAAAAGAACGCCCATCCACACATCGTCCCTACACCATTACTTTGATGCCTGAATGGTCACACATACAGAAGACAGAGAATACATGTACTTCTCGTCTGTACATAATACATATTCTAGAATAGACAGTTTCCTGGTGGGGGGTGCGGCACTGGGGCAGATTGTCGACTGCGGAGTCAATCAACTTGTATGGTCAAACTCAGCCAAAACATGCTTCTTAAAGTAGGTTACCAATTGAAGAAACTCAAAGCAACGCACTACTCCCAGGGGAATAGAGCAGGCAAATTACTGGCAAATAGATTAAAAAAGAAACAACATGCACAAAAAGATAGCGTACCTAAATACCAGGTCAAGGGGGGGGGGGAGATAATGATACCCATAGATATCTGCAATAATTTTGCAAATTACTACTCTGACCTATACAACCTTTAAACTAACCCGAACACGCATCAACTCTCTAATTCTGAAGTATTCAGATACCTAGATCGACTACACCTACCTGCACGACCCCCATGGCTTCCCCAACTCATATTATAGCAAATTCTGAGGCATGCTAGTTCTGCGACTGGCGGCGGTTTTCATTGAGGCTATAACCATGGAGTCACTCCCTGTTGAAATGCAATTAGCTCACATTGTTACTCTAGTTGGCAGGTCAAATATGGGGAAAATACTAGCTTACACTAGCGAACCCTCAGGGTGATTGAGACAATCTACATAAAATGTCGACAAACGCTCAAGCCATAAGACAGATCCAGGGCTTGAAAGCCAAACATAGGGACATTGGATATTAAGGTGTCAACACACCCCATCCTAGACAAGTCCCCTATGCAATGTAGTGCAATGCACTGCAATGCTATCCCATTAAAGTACTATACACCCCTCCGCTCTTCAGGAGCTGTAAGGCCTGAGCCATAATCAGCAATACCAATTGGACACAGAGTTGTCTGCTACCGCTAGATGACACCCACAGAAATACCCACTTGTATAGAAGTTAATCCACCCACAGCTCAGTACTGATTTGATAAATCCATACATGTCCTACAGAAGCACCCATGCGATGCCCACCCAGGGAAAACAATGTTGACTCTTATGATAGCATGCTGGTGACCTGTTGATGGATACAAGTGTAAAATACTGCATCGAAGCATACTGTACTATATATCAATTTACCTTCAACCACACTAACCCCCCCTTTTTTGTATCCCTGAAAAATAAAAAACAGTATAAATTGTCAAATTGGAAAAAGAAAATGCATAATTAAATGCATACATGTATTGATTGGGGGTACATATACTAAGCAGATTATATGAGAGAGATTATATATATATATATATATATATATATATATATATATATATATATATATATATATATATATATATATATATATATAAATAAAGATAAGTAACTTGGCACTCACCCTTTCTCCAACAGCAATTCATTTTTGCCTGGGTGCAATCCCATGTTGAAAAGATATATAAACAAAAAATGAAGAGATGCACTCTCAGGACTTTAAAAATGAAAAAAAAGAGGATTTATTAAAGAAGGCATTACATTGAAAAAATAACCGACGTTTTGACCCGTTATATATATATATATATATATATATATATATATATATATTTATTTTTACAAAAAAATTTTTTGACAGTGGTGAGTCCCTTTAAGATGTCAAAATTTTATTAAATATTCTAGGCTTTTCAATGCATAATATATAAAACAAGTCTATCATGTCAAACAATATGCAGGGTTATTTACTAAAGTGAGAATTGTCAGAAATTCAAAGTAAATAAAAGGATACTATAGTCACGAGAACAACTACAGCTTAATGTCATTGTTGTGGTGTCTATTGTCCATGCAGGCATTTTGCTGTAAACACTGTATTTTCAGAGAATTGATTGATTGCATTGATTCAATGCATCTGTATGAGGAGATGGCCAGGGCGGCATTTAGCTCCTATGGGAAAGCATTGGATTGCCTGAAATTATCAATTATGATACTCTCAGCCAAAAAGGTTTATCAGGTGTGGGGCCAGCAGCAGAGGAACAACATGGTGCTGGAATTAAAGGGACACTATAGTCACCAGAACAACTACAGCTTATTGAATTTGTTCTGGTGTGTAGAATCATTACCTTCAGGCCTTTTGCTGTAAACACTGTCTTTTCAGTGAAAATGCAGTGTTTACATTACAGCCAGGGCCGGTGCAAGGATTCTTGCCGCCCTAGGCAAAGATCCATTTTGCCTCCCCCTCTTGAATGCAACTACACTCTCTCAGAAGTTTATTCACTAAACTATGAATTCAGTGAATTGGAAATCGAATTGCATAGTTTAAGCAAAAACAGCTGAACTGTGACTGTAGCTGAGTTGGCGAATTCTTCTAAATGGTATAAATTTTGCCATTTGGTTTTTAATTAGGTCTGATCAGCTGTCCCTTTCCTCCATAGTGCCCAAACTCTCTCATTAGCGTTTATCCACAGCTTTCTCCTTTGTTTCTGTTTCCAAAAGCTTGCAGTCTCTATGTTCACGATTTATCTGCTCACTGATTCTCTCCAGCCTGTTTCTCTTTATTCCAATAGGGTTATTCAATAAAGTGAGAATTGTTGGGAATTCAAAGTGAATTTCTAATTTATGGTCAAAACACCCGTTAACATTCTCCAGATTCGGCTACTCTGCCCTTACACTTACAATTCTCACTTTAGTGAATAATCCGGTAATTATCTTCTGTCAATTTCTCTTCTTTTCTTTTCCCTGTCTATTCATTAAACAGTGAGTTGAAATATAACTTGAAACATTTAGGCCAAAACAGAAGAGTTGTATAAAGTCATCTCAACTTTTTCAAATCACTGTTTAGTGAATAGACACCTAAGTGTCTAAGGGAAAGCAGAGAGACCAGTGATACATTTAGGGAAAGGGGACAGACCGGGAAGGCAATTAGGAAAGGGATAGAGAGATTGTTGAGGTTTTTAGGAAACTGATACAGACTAGGAGACATTTTAGGAGAGACACAGTGAGCAGACATTTAGGGGGGGAAAAAGAAACTGTCCAATATGAACACACACACACTGCCAATACATACATACATCCATACACACACACCCTGCCAATACATCCATCCATACACACACACCCTGCCAATACATCCATCCATACACACACAGACTGCCAATACATACAACCATACACGCACGCTGCCTAATATATACATTCAACCATACACACTCACTGGCCATTATACACACAGTGCCTAATACACATCCATATGCACATACTTCCCAACACATACATCCATACGTAGATACTGCCCAACACATACATCCATGCACATACTGCCCAACACATACATCCATACGTACATACTGCCCAACACATACATCCATACGTAGATACTGCCCAACACATACATCCATACGTACATACTGCCCAACACATACATCCATGCGCACATACTGCCCAACACATACATCCATGCGCACATACTGCCCAACACATACATCCATGCGCACATACTGCCCAACACATACATCCATACGCACATACTGCCCAACACATACATCCATACGTACATACTGCCCAACACATACATCCATACGTACATACTGCCCAACACATACATCCATGCGCACATACTGCCCAACACATACATATGCACATACTGCCCAACACACACATCCATATGCACATACTGCCTAATACATATACATTTTACATTGTATACATTTATGGTTGTTATAACAAATGTATTCAATTCATTTGGTGGGATTTAACTTATACTATTGTGCATTTAGTTTATGATAATGGTGGTATTTAATGTGTGCGACAGAGAGCTTGTCTGAAAGGCACACTGTAAGTAAAACATTTTTTTTTAAATATAATATATATAATTATATTAATGTATTCAAAATATAACTGGTCACACACTCACTGGCACACACACACACACACACACACACACACGTCATACCATCTCACACACACTCTTACTGACAAACACACACATACACACAAACAAACACTATGTCACATTCTCACTAACACACACTCTCACTGAAATACACACACACAATGTCACTCACACCAGTTTACATATAGTCAGTTTATTAAAACACACACACCAATGTTCAAACATACACACAATAATAACCATCTCCCCTTATCCTCCAGTGATGCCATACCTGTGCTATTGATGTGACTGGAGGAGAAGGGGATCATCTTTCAGCCTGCAGGTATCTGCCCTGGTTCCTGGTGGAGCAGGAGAGCCGTGCACAGTGAGCACAGGCTGCTTCCTGCTCCCTTCACTGTGCTTCCTGTGTTCACAGGCAGGGGGCAGCCGGGATACCAGGTCACATCCTGGCTTCCCCTGCCTGCAGGAAGCACAGTGCTCTGCTAGGGTGCTGGGGATTCAACAGTTCCCCTCTCCCTGAGCAGATGATCGGCTCTGCAGCATCAGGGAGGCAGAGGGAGCACAGGATATGGCTGCGCTGGGGTTTGGCTAAACAGCCACTTACCCAACGCTCCGACCCCAGGCAGGAGAATCCTGCTGCCCACCCACAGGAGCAGCCCACCCAGAAACCTCCAGGTGGGCGCCCCCTTCAGGTCGGCGCCCCAGGCGAATGCCTAATTTGCCTTAATGGTAGCGCCGGCCCTGATTACAGCCTAGTGATGACTTCACTGGCCACTACTCAGATAGCTGTTAGAGATCCTTCCTGGGTCATGGCTGCCTAAAATGCATCCAAACATTCAGTGTCTCCACCCTCTGCATGCAGACACTGAACTTTCCTCATAGAGATTCATTGATTCAATTCATCTCTATGAAGAGATGCTGATTGGCCAGGGCTGTGTTTGAATCATGCTGCCTCTGCCCCTGATCTGCCTCTTTGTCAATCTTAGTCAATCCTATGGGGAAGCATTCTGATTGGATCAGGCTACCACTTCTGATTATGTCAGCAGACTGCTTCTTTTTTATGCAAACAGCATACAGATCTACAGATTCTGGCTTGAATACAAGATTTTTACTATATTTATGGAGGCATGAGGGGTCCACGGGGGCTAGATGGTGGTTTTAACACTACAAGGTCAGGAATACATGTTTGTGTTCCTGATCCTATAGTGATCCTTTAAGGTACATTTTTACTTTATTTAAGGGGGTAAGGGAGGGCGGCTAAAATGTTTTTTTTAACAGTATAGGGTCATGAATACACGTTTGTATTCCTGACCCTATAGTCTTTCTTTACATTTAAAGTTAAAGTTGTCAAACTGGAAGCATAGCTGACTGAGAGTACATTTCCAGTTTGGCTACTTACACCTTAATTCTGAATTTCACCAACAATTCTCACTTTTGTTATTAACCCTGATAGTGTGGTTTTATGCTTCCTAATGGTGGCACGGTTTTAAAGGATTTTTGTCTCTTGAATTAAAAAATATTTTAAAAAATGGCCACAAGAACAAGGGTTCCGATGGAGGAGTGTTTCACATCGCTGGAAGATGGCTGCATAATGCGCATGCTCCTCAGATCTTGAGCTATAATACAGCAAATAGCCAAGACCCACTGAAGCACATATCTACTGAAATTACAGCCACACAATCCCAGATATCAAGGGACAACGATATCAAGGGACACCGCCGCACCAGCGGGCCCAAGAGGGTGGTGATGATTTGCTATTGCCCACATATGTGGCATATCAAGATACTGATTAGACGGCATGATTATTGCAAAGGCGTGCCACAGGCTGGCCACAATAAAAGCCCACTCTAAAATGTACAGTTTTATCACACAGCACAATGCCACAGACGTGGTAAGTTTTGAGGGAGCGTGCAATTAACATGCTGACTGCAGGAATATCCACCAAAGCTGTTGCCCGTTAATTAATTGTTCATTTCTCTACCATAAGTCATCTCCAAAGTCATTTCAGAGAAATTGGCAGTACATCCAACCGACCACACAACCACAGACCATGTGTAACCACACTAGCCCAGGACATCCACATCCAGTATCTTCATTTCCAAGATCGTCTGAGACCAGCCACCCGGACAGCTGCTGCACCAATCGGTTTGCATAACAAAATAATTTCTGCACAAACTGTCAGAAACCATCTCAGGGAAGCTCATCTCTGTGAGATACGTCCACGACCATCACCTCATGTTGCAGCATGATAATGCACGGCCCCATGTTGCAAGCATCTGTACACAATTCCTGGAAGCTGAAAACATCCCTGTTCTTGCATGGCCAGCATACTCACCAAACATGTCACTCATTGAGCATGTTTGGGATGCTCTGGATCGATGTATATGGCAGCTTCTTCCAGGTCCTGCCAATATCCAGCAACTTTGCACAGCCAATGAAGAGGAGTAGACAAACCTTCCACAGACCAAAATCAACAACCTGATCAACTCTATGCGAAGGACATGTGTTGCACTGTGTGAGGCAAATGTTGGTCACACAAGATACTGACTGGTTTTCGGACTCACCCGGATTCCCCAATAAAGTAAAACTGCACATTTTAGAGTGGCCTTTTTTTTTTTAAGGCACACCTGTGCAATAATCATGTTGTCTAATCAGCATCCTGAAATGACACACCTGTGAGGTGGATGGATTATATCAGCAAAGGAAAAGTGCTAACTAACACAGATTTAGACAGATTTGTGAACAATATTTGAGAGAAATTGGCCTTTTGTGTTCATAGAAAAAGTCTTAGATCTTTAAGTTCAGCTCATGTGAAAAATGGGGTCAAAAACAAAAGTGTTGCATTTATAATTTTGTTCAGTGTAGTATCCTCCTTCAAGGAGAATTTGCTAAACTTGCAAGAGACACAAGGGCTAATATCCAA